CCTTAGTTACTGATAATTATCCTTAGTAAGCTACAATATATATAGAAGTATATTAGAAATATATCTACTATATTTTATAATATAATTCTCTTTATACTGATTAATATTATACTCTTTATAAGTTAATTAATAATAATTAGTAGGTTTATAGAGCTATCCTCCCTTACTAGGGATAGCTCTATACTAAAATCTATAGATAATTTAGCCTAGATTTATTATAGAATTAGGAGTAGTTTTAATAAACTATACTTTATATCCTACTAAACTATAGTCCTTCTGTAAGTAGTATAGTTTTATAGAAATTAGTATATATTCTTTACTACTCTAGGCTAGAAGAATCTCTAAGATGGTATTATATATATAGTGTCTTATCCTAGATAATTAGTAATATTAGAATTATATACTTTTTAAATAATACTAGTCTATAACTATTTACTCTCTAGAATCTATATTTATTGTTAGAAATATAATAGTCTTTATTTATCTAGATAATACTTAGAGAGACTAATCTTTATACTTATTTTAATCTTAATACTATACTTACTATTCTTTACTATTATTAAATAGGCTTAGTAAATACTATTAGCTAGCCTTACTTTCTCTTACTTATCCTATAGCTTTTATTTACTAAGAATTAGTACTAAGGCAGAGAGGTTAGGGTCTGTCTTATTAATATTATAAAAATACTTTACCTTATAGCCTATCTAAATATATATATCTTAATAATAGTTTTCTTTTCTTTCTTAAAATATTTTAGTATTAGGGTAATAATAAATAGGTTCTTTAGTTTATTAAATATATCCTAGTAGTAGTTTTAATCCTATTAAAAAGATATATCTTTCTTTATTAACCTTATTAATAGTAATAATAGTGTAGTAAATTTAGATCTAAATAAGTAATAGAAACTAGCAAATCCTAGGAAACTATAGATATTATAGACTGTTCTTAGTGCTTCCTATATATATATATTGCTTCTACTTTTTTAGGGTTAATATATATATCTTTACTAGTATATATAATAAAGCTAAGATATTTAACCAAATCTTACTTAAATTCTAACTTACTAATATTATATTATAGCTCTACTTTCTTAAGCTTCTAGAGTACCTTAATAGAATTATCTAAGTAGATAATAATATTATTAATATAAGCAGATATAAAGTTATCTAGATACTTCTATAATATCTAGTTAATAAACCTTCAGAAAGTAGTAGGTATACTAATAAGACTGAACAGTATTATATTCTATTTAAAAAGACTATATTTTATATAAAATACTATCTTCTACTCTTTACCTAGTAATACTTATACCTTATAAAATACTATAATTATATCTAGCTTTAAAACTAATAGTATTAGTACTATAGTAGATAACTTATTTAGATAAAGTTTTTATCTAGTAGTTTAGTTAGTATCTTTTATAGATAGAGTAGCTCTTCTTTACTTATACTATAGAGAAGTCTATATAAGGGTAGTTCTTTAATATTAATTTAATCTTATTTAATAGTATTTTATTGTTAATTTTTAGTTAATAAGATAGCAATATATCTGCTAGTTATTAGCTAAATATATTAAGCTACTTCTAATACTAATAGAGAAATTTCTCTTTGATAAAGACCTTATCTTTTAGCTAAAAGATAGCTTTTTTAATATTATCTAATATAACCTTTCTAATTTATAGTTTATCTATTATTATTATCCTATGAAATAATATTAAATATCTTTTACTAATACTTATTTTACTTCTAGTTTTTTTTATTAGCAGGCCTAATAAAATAATCTTTTTAATTCTAATATTATATCTTTTTATAAGATTTTATATAGATATCTATATATTCTTAATCTAGAGTAGGCCTAGGATGATACTATCTATCTAGTCCTTAATAATATATATAGATATCTATATTAAAGTAGATAATATAAATAATTCATCTTTAATTTACTATAATACTGTCTAGCTATTATATATATATCTTAATATATAGAAGATTAAAAGACTTAATAAGTATGCTATTAATTATTATATAGCTAATATAGCTATAGTTAACTAATACTTCTATAAACTAAGTCTTATTAAATATAATATTAACTATAGTAGTTCTTTACTTTTATCTAATTTCTTAACTCTCTTTTACTTCTGCTTATAGCTAAGAATAGGAGCTACTCTATTTCTAATTTACTTTTATTAGTAGATATATATTTATTACTATATATATTATTCTTAATAACTAGCTCTACTTTCTTTATATAGATATTTTACTTTAGCTTTCTCTCTAATCTAGTAGTAGAATAACTCTCTTTCTTTATTAACCCTATAGTACTAAGATAGTTTTCTAGCCAGAAAGTAGAGAGATAAGGATATTTAGTAAGATAGTAACTAGCTTTCCTATATTAGTAGTATTTCTATTCTAATAATAATCCTAAATTTTATTCTTACTAGCCTATTAGGCCCTTTTAATTACTTTTTAGTATAATTCTATTAGTAGTTTATATATACTTTAGTTTAGTTAGTAAAGATTATTAGGGTTTAGTCTATCTTATTAGTATTATTTACTTTAGTAGTTTAATAAAACTATAACTTACTTATATTTAAGTTATCTATATTAGTACTGATTTTATATAGATAGCTAATTAGGGCTATAAAGATAATAGGAATACTATAATTTATCAGTAAATTATTTATATTTTATTTAATATTTCTAATAAGATCTATTACTTAGCTTTATCTAGCTATTATAGGATACCTATATTAGTAAATTTCTTCTCTAATTATAGTAGGAACTATAAGAATAAGGTCTTCTTTAGCTATCTTAGCTAATATAGATAATAAGTAGCTTTTATTTAGTATTTAGGTTACTATAGATACCTTCTAGATACTCTAATAGGTTCTTTAGGGTTTTAGTATCTTAGTAGTATTTTATATATATACTAGTATTCTTCTATATAAGTTTCTCTAGTTATAAAAATATATAGATAAACTAGTTAGTCTTAGAACTAATAGTATTACTATTAACTACTAGCTTATTCTCTATTACAATTTACTATATTAATTAGTTATTTATACTTTCTATAAATAGTAGTAGGTCTAGAAGTCTTACTTAGGGTTATTAAGAAGGCTTAACCTAAATCAGTAGTATAGAGAAAGATAATCTTTTAGCTAAAAGATCAGATCTTTTCTTTGGATCTTTAGGCTTCTTTTATATATTCTTCTCTATAGCCTTTACTAACGCTACCTCTAGCTATTCTATATACTTTTTTTACTATATAGTTACTTAGTAGTATAAGGTTTATATATATATTAGCTACTGTATAATTATATCTAGTAGGGTTTACTGTTATAGTTCTTCCTAGAGAAGATCTATATCTATCCTAGGATTTATTATTAAATTAATAATAAACTATACAGATAATTCTTTTAATTATTATATCTAAGAATATTCTCTTCTAGGACTTTTACTTTATCGTTAAATTAATATTAAATTAATATTAATTTAGGGGTATATTCTTTATATACCTAAGACTTTAGAATTTTTGCTTTATAGTTAAATCAGTATTAAATAAGTAGTAATTCAGGGGTATATTCTTTATATATCTAGAATCTCTAGGGCTTTACGGGTAATTTTATAATTACTGATTAAATCAGAAGAGTATTATATATAAAGGGCTGTAACGATAACTATTTAATTAGGGCTAGGCCTATATGCTGTTTATAATAATCTTAAAGAAGAGTTGTCTATATAAGCTTCTACCTTATTTTCCTGTAGGAAAGGGTTATATAATACTATATAATATCTCCTCAGGCCTGGGCCTGCTATACTTATCTAAATATTATTACTTTAAATACCCAATATAATCTGATTAATCCTAGGGTATTCTATAAGCTTTATTAAAATAATATAGCTCTACATTAAGGAGGTATTATATAGTAGGTTTGCTTAAAATTAGACTAAACTATATATTTTATATTCTTAATATATATAATTTGACTAGGACCTTAAGATATTTAGGATTAATTTAATTACTATTATCCAGAGTCTGTATATAATACTATTTTTTAGTTAGCTTAGCAGATAGATATCTAATTTATTAGACCCCCTGATATTCTTAGATATATAGTTTCTGATTAGGAAGTCATTATATTATTTTATAATTTTAGTTATATAGGAATACAGGTAGCTCCTAATCTAATTAAAAGAATAAAAACTACTACTTTATTTAAAATTAAAAGATAAAGAACAAACACTACAGTAAGTAAAATTAAAGAAATCTGTTATATTAAATTAATAAGTTAAACTTATAAAAACCCTAGATTTTATATACAATAAAGATTAAGGTTATCTTATTAAGTAAAAATAAAATATCAAATATAAGATTTATATACCTTATAACTAGAAATACTTCCTATATCTTTTAATTATTGGCTATAGTAACTATTGATATTTTCCTCTGTTACTAGATAAGCCTCTCTGTAAGATTATATTTAAGCTTATTAAAGCTATTTTAGAATATGATATACTAGGGTTAATATCTTACTCCTTAATAATTTTGCTATATCTCTATAGATTACTTAAGAAATATAGCATAGAGATATACTATTAGCTTTATCTAACTCTCTATATTAAGGATTATATTACTATGTTAATTCTAAAACAGAGATTACTTTTATATCCTAAGAGTACTGATATTATAGGGGTTAAGTAAGAATTTAATTATAATAAAATAAAGGATATATTAGACTAATAGATATATAAAAAGAATTTCTTTCTTTAATAAAGAACAATAATAGTATCTTATTATATACTGTTTATATATATAAGCTAAGGTATTTTAGGGTATACAATATATTAAAATAGATCTTATATATCAAGTAATTATAGATAAACCAAAAAAAATTTTATTATATTATTTAACTAAGATATACAAAACATTAATATATATAATATACTTTTATATATATTAACAGTGTAGAAGCTTATAGAGTTCTTTTTATATAATTTATAATGGTTACTAAGTTGTTAAGCTAGAGACCTATGACTAGATAAGGATATTAGATAGTAGAGATCAGATTAGACTGTCAGTATATAGACTAATTCTTAAGAAGCTTAAAAATTCTAAGTAGTTATAGGATTGTAAATTTACTAGGGCTTAGGTAGATATTAATGCATAGATAACTCAAAGAGGATTTATCTATAAATTAGCCTTAAGAGTCTAGGGTATTATATACTTTAAATCCTATAATAATTTATTCTTCTTTTTTTTAGAGATAGTTAACTTAACTATTAATAAAGGTTAGGATTAGGTTAGATAATCTAAGCTAAAAAGTATTATCTTAAATAAAGGCCCTAGGACAGATCCTACTTTTGGTATATTTGTATATAGATATAAATAAAGTAATATTATCTCCTTAATATCTTTAAGATAAAAGCTTTCATCTAAAAATTTTTATTTCTCTTATCTTTATCTTCTTTGATCTCTTTCTCTTTATTATTAAATTATTATCTTTTTACTATATCTACTGCTACTATTGCTGCTAGTACTACTACTACTCTAATTACTATTATAGGTCTTTCTATAGATACTAAGGATTCTGTTTAATAAGGAGATTATTATATAGCTAAAGATAAAGATTATACTAGAGCTAGAGATAGAGATAATAATTAGGAGTATTATCAGTACTATATCTACTGCTACTATTGCTGCTAGTACTACTACTACTCTAATTACTATTATAGGTCTTTCTATAGATACTAAGGATTCTGTTTAATAAGGAGATTATTATATAGCTAAAGATAAAGATTATACTAGAGCTAGAGATAGAGATAATAATTAGGAGTATTATCAGTACTATATCTACTGCTACTATTGCTGCTAGTACTACTACTACTCTAATTACTATTATAGGTCTTTCTATAGATACTAAGGATTCTGTTTAATAAGGAGATTATTATATAGCTAAAGATAAAGATTATACTAGAGCTAGAGATAGAGATAATAATTAGGAGTATTATCAGTACTATTATTAGTCTTTATTCTCTTTATAATTAAATTGTCTATCTTTCTTTTATATTTTATATTAAACATATAGTTGAAGCAGCTCTTTATTTTTCTATTAGTACTATTCCTATAATTAAATATAACTAGGACTATTCTAATTTAATTATCTATACTTTATATAAAAGAGATAGTAAGATTTACTTTTAGATATAATACTTTTCTAATTTATATTTAATTTAATACTAATTTATCTAGATACCTTATAGAATCTATAGTAATTTATACTAGCTTTAGTTAATCTTTAACTAGATATATAAAGTTTAGAAAAGTAGTACTATATCTATCTAAAGTATAGAAAATAAGACTATAGTTATAGAGAGATTTATTTACTTTTTAGTATCTTTTTAAAAATAATCTCTATCTATCTCTTTTAGTATAAGCTTTAATTTGATATATAAAATATAGATTAAGCTATAGAGATATATACTATATTTATTATTAAATAATAAAAAGAATTAAATACTAAGGCTAACTTATCTTTTACTTAGTCTTTTAGTTATCTTAATAATTTTCTATAGCTATAGATTAATAGTACTAATTTTAATCTTTTATAGAATATTATCTAATTTTTTTTTCTTAGAGATTATAGTATAGTTTAAATATAATATAACTCTAAATAATATTATTTTAGCTCTAGCTATAGTATATATTATTAACTAGATCTAAATACTTTTAGATTTATATAGACTTCTATAATAGTTTTTATTCTTTATCTAACTTATACTTTTTTTTATAGTTAAATAGCCTTATTTAATAGAAGTTTAATAATTTTTCTTTTTATTATTACTTTAGATATAGTTTAAAGAAGTTTTAAAGAATTTTTATTATCTTTAGGATATAGTTTTTTAAGTTTATTTCTTTCTAAATAAAGATATTATATTTTTTATATTTTCTAAATACTCTATAGATTCTTATTAGTTATATTCTAAGAATTATTTAGTTTATTTTATATAGTAGTATAGTATATTATTAAAGATTTTTCTATTTTATATCTTTTTAATTTTTTAAATCTTTTTATCTTTAAGTTTTAGTATTAGTATTAATAAATTATCTTTATTTTAGCTATTCTATAGCTTAAGAAAAAAAAAATAAAGAAAATATTATATAATTTTGAATATTTTTCTAATAATATAATATAATATATCTAAATACTAATATTTATAGAAATATAGAAAAATCTAATTTACTAAAAGAAATAATTTTTTTTCTTTAGCTGTTGACATACATGACAAATAATCATTTTCAGTTCTCACTGCTAATATATTCAGGCGTCTAACCGGTTGGCGACATCTCAACATACCCTGGATATGCAAGCTTGACCAGCAGCGTATCGAATGGGGATTATACACCATACGTGACTCAGTTTGTGGGAACTCGTGTATCTTGGGGTGACTTGCCCGTAGCAACCAACCTCACCTCATTCACCCCAATTGCCACCCCTTCTACCGCACCTCTGGCAAAGAAGACACGCTTGGATTGTGAAGAGTACAAAGACAACCTTTATGGCTCAGTGCCTTGTGACTGGCTTGCTCTAGGTGTCAACCTTCCAGACTTTGCCACCTGGAATCCATCGTTGGATGTATATGATTGCATGTTAACAAATAATACGCGATACTGCACGCTTCTAGGGACCGGGTATAACACAAGTAAATTGAACACCACAGTTTTGCCTTACGTAGATGTTCCATCCGGCGCAGCCGTTAATTCGACTCCAAATTGCTACAGCTGGTATCACACGTCAAAAGGTATGTTCCAACACCGAAACTTTCCAAGATACTTCAAGTCTATATCTGCTGACATCATGAAGCAACACCTTGTGATGAGATCCTGTCATTTGCCAATATCGCCTTCGATGCATTCTATGCATGGAACGTAAGTAATTTATTTTCCGTGCATGTGGTTAGTGTATACAGGGTAGCTCTTACTAATTCATAACGCGAATTAAGTGCCCACCAAATTGCAAGCAATCTTGAGATGCTAACCACATATCCCGCTTGATACAGCCGAGCGTGAAAAGCGACTGCTCAAATATCTGGCTGAACGTGTCTTATTGTATAGACGGTGACGGCTTCGATGACACCTCTTACCCGAGTTCTAGTACCCAAACTACTTCTACTCCAACTTCAGCATCATCATGCACGGGTGCCTCCGCGACCGCTCCGGGTCCTACCCAAAGCGGCATTCCATGTGATTGTAACAAATACGCAATGCACGATGACGGTAAATTCCTACTGGCGATACATTCTACGCTGCTGCTACGGGGTTCTCATGTTATTCTTAGATGTTTATTGTCAGGGAATGGCAGATAAGTATGATATTACTCTCGCTGAGCTTTATAAGCTCAATCCCGCTCTTAATGGCGACTGTAGTGGGCTGTGGGCCGGTTATGCCTACTGCATTGGAACTCCAGGCTTGAGCACATCTGTCCCTGCCACCACGACTAATACCGCCCCAACCGCAACTTCGAGTGGAAATTGCGCGAATGTCACTCCACCGAAGTATCTGATGCATGATAAAGACGGTCAGCTCCCTCATTGCCTTCTTCCTAACTAACGACGTGCTGAATTATTATCTCTAGGAGTCTACTGCTATGACATTGCGCAAGATAGCGATATAAGTTTGGACGAGCTATGTGAGTGGAATCCTGCACTCAATGGTAATTGCAGTGGGTTATGGCTCAACTATGCATACTGTATTGGAGTGCAATGAAGCACATTGACGTTGTGTGGCATAGCCATTGGCATATCATAGAGACCTCGAATCAACACTTGGGATTTATTCCGTTTTTCCAGCGCAACGAGCCGACCTGAGTAAATTGAGCAGACAAGTCTTGGAGCTGTCAGCGTATGAATGTAATTTGTAAAGATTTTAATCGGGACCCTTGAATTCCCCATTCAAATTCGCCTGTATCTGGTTTTTACTACTCCCCCCCCAAGGACAAAAGAGAGGGGAAAAGGGGGGGGGAGACTTAGACCCTCCCGAATGACGATGATCTTTTTTTACAAGGAGTGGAAGTTGAGTGAGTCATTGATCACTTCCTACCAATCTTGGAGTGAATCGCGATGCATATCTTCCCTCGCCGGAATCCACTACGGATTATGATGTACCCTCATGAGTAGTAGCTTCGGCTATCGTTGTTGTTGAAACAGGGCCCGAGCTTTCGCCCCCGGCAGGCCCCGCCGCCACTTGTGGACCCTTAAGAAGCTTAAAGACCTCATAAGACCCTGCGGGGTCAAAAGGAATGCATACATAAATATATGAAACAATGATCAAGTTATTATCCCAGCGACGTTGCATTCGCATACCGAGCTACACTAGAATCTAACCAACCACCAGCGGAAGGAGACCTCGGGATTGAACCCACAGGATGATCATATCGCTAAGTGCAGCATTAGTTAAATTAGCAGCATGCAGGTACGATCTTGGCATAGAGACAACCATAAAGAAGTACAAACTGGCGTGATTCGGACCGTTGACTCGATTACGTGAGGTGGGAAATCATTGGAGTTTTCGGCGCCTCACTCGGGCGTATCCAACGAATCGTGGATGTTTTCTGACGTCGGAGCTTTGTTTTCGTAGCTAAGCTTGGTAGCGTCTTGGCACGGATAGTCCGGAAATGAAACCTTTGGCCCCAAATCCCCTCATTAGATCGTCTTGTGTATACTCGTAGTGTTGTTTCCCCTGCTCAAGTCACCTGTTCATCGCAGAGGCGAGGGTTTCTAGCGAAATATCCAGGTTATTACCAGTTTTTACACGTTCGGGCTAGAAATCTACCTTACCCAGGTTTACCATCGTATCTGCTTGAAATTTACAATATCATACTGGTCCCCACATGTGACTGAGGCAAACAATGAAAAGCGAGGCAAGACATACAATTTAGACTTCCAAGGTTGAAATTAGGTTAGTGTTGATATCGCAAGCAAATTATCGAAGAGCTATTGAGGAATTTTTGCGCAAAGGTAATGGTCCCATGAGTATATCTGGAAGACTCCGAGGGCTTGACATCAGGTATATTCGTCGAAATCAACCTTGGAAGGACTATATTTCCATGAATCACGAATATCATACTGTACATTCAGGGTGACCAGTTGTATTTCTTGCTTTTTACACAGAACAAGAAACAAGTCGCGAGCTAAAGAACCAACCAGTAATGCGACGAAAGGGATTCCACTGTTAGCCCCTCTTAGTGTGTATGTACATGCAGGGACCTTTCGCTTCTTCCTTCCGTATTGTTGGCATGCCAAGGCATCCAGGGCCACTCGCGGTGGCGAGGCAGGGCGGCCCCACCCCTTGTGATCCTGGCAACCCCTCAACCGTCGGCTTGCTCCAACCCAATTCGCTTACCCACCTGCGCATCAATCTCTCAAGACTTACTGCGGGAGTACTATCCCCATGGTCCATCCCAGCATTGCTCCCCATCTTCCTCAAGAGATATTATGTTTGATTGCAGAGCACCTACAGGAACTAAAGGCCTCTCTGGTTCCTTGTACTCGAGTATGCCGTCAATGGCAAGTCGGTTTCGAGCCCCTCATTTACGCTGAACCGATCAACGTTTTCAGTGCCGATGGTGTCAGCAAGGAAGGTTGTGGAAGGGCAATGCCATTGAGTCACTTTCAGAAAGTGACCTCTGGCAATGGAGTGGCACGACGAGGTCTGATCCGTCATTTGAGCTACCACATTGTTGTGCCTATTGACCTTGCGGATTGGCAAACCCGCAAGCAAAAAGGATATAACCTGGAGAACAGTGTACGTCAGAATAATGATATTGCCTTTCAGTCGGCAATAGTTGATCTCTTCAACACTCTCACACTGTGGGATCCCGATTCGAGGCTTTCACTTGACTTGGCGTTGTTGGGTCGCGAAGAGGGAAAGGAGCCTCGCACAACTGATTTCCCCATTGCGGGTGACTATTGCTATAATTATACAAAGGGAAGAACTATGTCAGTGACTGTCTATCGGGCAAGCTTTCCAGATGACGGGCTCTCCCTTCTTCCGGCTGTCGCGTGTATCGATCGTCTTTTCTTTCATTATGATTACCCTTGTCATCAAATATGGGCCGGATCCGCCATGGAAATTGCTCGGCGTTGTACAAGCCTTACAGAGATCATACTGGACCTAAATGAATACATTCGCCCGGATCACATTGAATATATTCAAGCAAGGCGTCAAGGTAAGAGAATACCTACATAAAATGCGCAGCGAAATATCTGAGAGCCGAAACGCTGACACTTCGATAGCTGTGGCCGACGGTCTTTTGACCATGCCACATAGCCTGAAGATTTTTAATTTCCGTAACCAGGATGAGAGCCCATGGAAAGAAATGATATCTGGCTTGAATGTTCTACTTTCGGATAACGATTTCCTTTCTCAGAACATTCTAAATCTGAGTCTATCGCTCAGAGAATTAAAAATACGCAACCTTTCGCTCACACCAGATTTCATGTTTCCTTTGGATACAGAAAGCCATCCCTTACCGACTTCCCGATCTCTCTACTGGCCTTCATTAGAAGTGGTAGAGCTAACTCATGTACCTCCAAGACTTCCATCAGGTATGTTCATCAACTCGCCATCAGCTGTTTAACCGTGCCCTTCGTTTGAAAAATAGTCTTCGGCCAGGCAAGAGAAGTCGCATTCCTCATCTTATTAACAGTCTAATTATGTAGGCGAGTGGGTTGCTCATCCAACACCTGAGGGCCAACTCAGAATCGATGAAGTTGAAGACTGGGAGTTCATCATATGTGACCTTGAAGAAGGCTTAATTGAGCGGCCTATTTTCGACCGCGAACATTTCCACCGAACTCTCATTTCCCTCGGCCATGCAGCTCGCCATATGCCATGTTTGAGGTACATAAAATATCGTCTCGGTCATACCACTCATTTTGAATTTGAATTTGAACTCGATAGCTCGTCGGGGGAGGCGGAGTGGCTGCTTGATTCTCCTTTTCGACCGGATCAACGGGTAGCGGATGTGTGGAAATTTCCACTAGAGGACGAAGATGTGAAGTTACCTCCAATGTCAATCACTATTGCTGACTGGAGTCAACATGTGGCTGGATCTCAGGGGAACACGAAGGAATGATGTGGTGAGGAAAGGCAGATGAGTGCTGTAACACTTAATTTGGCACGGTCCAGTGGGTGAAACGTGGAATCGGAATATCTTCCTACATTAAATGCCACCTTAGTTTTGCGATAAACTAGTCAAATTAACTGACATTGCTCTGCCTTCACAAATACTCAACCTATACTACAATCTGGTTTAGTTATCCAAAGGCAAACTTCGCTTGGGAATTCAGAGTCTCCTCCGGTTGCAAAGACATTGCGTTCAGGAGGACTCACTGTGTCATGGGAAGGCAAGAGGTAGGCCAAAGATCAAACAAAGGGATGATTATTCTGCAAAATTGGATTGGGATAAATCTGTGGACGTCCAGGAGTGCCTTTGAGAAGACAAAGATGGAGAAAGAGCGGACTCTGTGCTGTACAGATGGTACTATAGTTGGAAATTGTCAATGGCGAGGAGGCAGGGGACTGGGAATGCCTTGTTTCAGCGGATGCGAGATTAACGAGACAGAACTCATCCAAAGCTCTCGCTACCGCCTAGACATAAAGTCTGGAAAGCTCGACTGTTCAGGGAACACTTATGCTAGTTTTTACTGCTCTGCCTTCTCAGCTCCTCCTGGTGGGGTCAGTTCCGAAGTAGACAGCAACCCGGATAGCGAAGAAAGTGACGATGACGATGACCCGATCATAGCTAAATTCGGTGACCAGGCCAAAGCTACTACAGAGGCGGGTACCGAACAAGTCAGATTAGATATTGCTGTAAAATTACTCTGTACGCTGATTATAACTGGCATTGAGGCCCTCCTTAACGGGGCAGAACTAGCGGTTCCTTTTTTTTGGTATATCGTCGTTTCTTTTCTTTTTCTATTAAACTAGTCTTGGGGAACAGCGCTAATTTCAATTTAGAGGAGATTACAACCGGCCTTGAAAGCTTGGTAGAAGTATTTGCCAACCGATTTATCATCAAAGCATGCAGCAACCTGGTCGAGAAGGAGGGCAAAGCTACAATCAAAGCCATCGAAAACAAGCTTAAGCCCAAGAGAGTGACCAAGAGACCAACCAAAACACGACCTCCAAAATCATCACATACATCAGCGAGAACACGAACTACAGATCAATACAGTATAAAGAGAGCCGACAATCCCAACTACAAGCAACGAAAGAAGTCTGCCCGCACGACAACGGAAATCTCAGATCAGCTTCAAGGGCGCACAACGAGGACTATCACACTAGACTGCAATAGATACCCTCAGCTGTACTGGCACTACTCCTCAGTAATCAGTAACAACCTACACTCTGCGTATATAATGTGTCCATACGCCCCTGAGCCCTATACAAAGCGTGGGGCAGTGGACGAGCAGTATAATAAGCATAATCAGTACCTCGTTAACGCAGATATTAAATATCAGGCGGATAAGTAGCCCGCTGCAAAGTATATTAAGGTAAATAACGGCTACAAAAATTTGGAGGGACATAGGAACCGAGTTCCAAAAGATAAAAAACAATTTATTCACCTTCTGTCTCAGACCCAAAATAGAGCTGCTGGCCAAAAATTCAAAGGTTGTCCAAAAATAGCCAGAAGAGAAGATGTTCAAACTATGATCAGTTTAGAGGCTCCGGCGCACAGAGGAAACCTGTATACTAAATGGACACAGGTCAAGGCAGTCTATACCCGGGACGTTTTCTCAGTTTCGTTTGACAATTATATCGCTACAGCAGACGGTGATAATAGCTTGACCCTCAATAAATATACAAATCTGAAGGGTATTAGGGACAAAACCAATTACCCTAGTTATCCGCTTCTCAACCGAGATCCATGGTTTAAAACCGAGCAAGGAGAAGAAGAGATACAATACCAAGAGCTCTACAATCCGGCAAATAGAATAAGAAAGCGAGACTTCTTGCTCAACCCCAACAAGATCGTGATAGTCGGATCTAATTTAAGCCAGAGACCCACAGACGAAGAGCTCCGCAAAAATTTTAGATTAATTCAATATAAAGATAACTGTGGACAGAAGATTACCGATCTTAGACAGGTTAAGCCTAATCTGAGAGTTCTGCACCCTTCAAGCTCCAGTTTGATGCCTATACCCGCCATTACCTCAACAATATCCGTATCAGCCTCTGTAACGGACGATATAACAACAAGTAAGCAACTCAGCAACGTTGCATATACGGTCGTACTCAGTAAAAGAAATTCGCAGAGATAGTATCAAGTATAACAATAATCTTTTTTCGGTAGCTTCAGGCGGAACTATAGTTAGCGAGTACGATCCAACGTTTTAGTGTTAAACCAAAACTTTAAAGCTCCCGAGGAAAAAGCCTGCTCATAACCTGAATATAAAATCCTAAGCGTTAATTATAGCCTTTATCTAATGTAGTACGTAGATATTTAGACTAGCTTTAGAAATATATAGTGTTAGCTACACCTTTCTTTAACCAGCATTACTCAGTTCTAAGAATCACTTTTATTAGTAGCTACCAGAGCATTTAAAGTCCTAGCGACCCTCAACAATTTTATTCCCTTACGATTGAATACCATATCCGAGTCCTCACAAGACCCATTACCGGCGCTGGCAATCGTTAGAATCTCGCTGAAATTCCCGGAGGATACAGTATCTCCAGAATCTTTTTAGAAGATGCTAATAGATAGACGATACGCATCAAAAGAGTTCCTAGCAGACCGGCTAAATATCAATACACATTATTATTCTAATCCAAACCGCTATAATACTCTATCTAATCGTGGCGGCCACTTTCTATCTAAAGATCTCAGCCTCTTTGACGCACCTTTCTTTTCCATTACAGCCACTGAAGCCACGGCAATAGATCCGCAACAGAGATTAGCGCTTAAAACATCATATCAAGCTCTAGAGAACGCAGTTATTGGCATAGAGAGGGTTTATAACTCAAACACTTACATTTTCATAGGGTGCAGTAGTAATAATTACCAGACCATAATAACAAAAGATAACTTAGATGCCCAGAAATTTGCCGCTACAGGAACATCGCCTAATATGCTGTCCAATCGCATAAGTTGGTTCTTCAGTCTTCAGAACCTAGTATTACTATCGATACTGCATGTTCAAGTAGCTTAGTAGCGAATGATCTAGCCTACAAGTTAATCTAGAGCGGTAAAACAGTATTATAGATTTTTCCAGTTCAGAAGCACCTAGCTGCAGGGGTTCTGTAAGCCTATGCCAAGGTCTATCTACACTATAAGGCTTACTCTAGAAAGTCACTGCTTCTTTCTTAGGCTGTTCAGCTCGTAATGGTGACTTTTGGATTACAACAGAAAAGTAGTAAATTTGAAGGTGTTCAGGAAGAAGTATACTCTCCCGAGAAAGACTTTTATCAATAAACTGTTTATATCCCGCCTCCTCTATCTCTATAATACAAGAGAAGATAACAAGATACTTCTCTGTATCTAGAAGCCACTCGCGACCATATATCTTTCTAAATAATTCAAGACCCCAGCGGGGAAGACACGGCCATCAGCATTTCCAAGACAATATATAGAGGCAATATATAATAGCGAAGTCTAAATTTAAGGGCCTAAAGCTATTTCCAGGACTGTAGTAATCTTAATCTATAATAAGACCTTCGATCAGACACAATACTTCTTTATAGTCTGATCGTCCAGAATCCTATATATACTTGCTGTCAGCGCGATAGTTACGAAGTCCAAAGCCAATATCTAGCTTTATCAGTCGTACGGCATTAGCCACATTCCTCTGCTTTCTGGCCTATAAAAAACCACACCGACGGACTAGAGCATTAAAGTTGATCTTCTATTGTACAAATACTTTCTCAGCGCTGTTTATAACTAGAGAAGCTTTATCGTTATACTAGCATCCTGGCAGACAACATTTGTTAAGCTTATCAAAGCGCCAATTCATATAGCTGACCAAGTCTACCAATCTAACTCTAGCCTGTTGGATCGTATCAAATTGATTACCTAGCGTAAGATCGCCATCAATATTGACAGGATTTATAAGAAGCCTATAGTTCTTAGCTGTATCCCTATCAAGCACAATGGTACATAGTGAACAGAGAATCAGTCTGATTTCAGTCTCTATAAAGTACGAATCAATTATTTTATCATCGAAATCTGATAATTGGTTTTGAATTATCTTGTTTTCGATCCAGGATTATAAAATCTAAATGCCATTTGTGATATAAGACCTAGATATTGTCATATTGCCCTGAAAGTATTCTAGATATACAAACAAAATACTGATCATAGCAACCAGAGAAATTATATTCGGTTGTTTCATTATTTTTTATACAGTACCACGGATGGCTCTGTTATAAAGCCACATAGGGGAAGTTAAGCCAAGGCTTACAAGATTTAAGGTCTTCTCCTTATAGGCGATGGCAATAGTAGTAAGGGTCTAACAGATAGCAGATTCTTTAAGGCTAGTATAGAGAACACTGGGTTGAAAGAATACGCCATTAAAAAATCCTGCTAACTGCAGTGCTATCCTATAGAAAAAGAATTCTAAGGCTTATGGTTCGATAGGCAAGTCAACTTAAGCGGTAGGGGCCAGGACCCTAGGCATCTCCACAAAAGGCATAAGTAGCTGATAACCCTGGCAATGGCGACCAGAACGTGAACATCTATTTCATTCATAATTAATTCAACGCAGATCTCCTTGGTCTTTGCATTTAATATTTACCTAGCACACACTGGTTTCTCTTCGTCACATTTAAGTCGTCAAGCCCTAGAATTTATAAGCAATCTTTCTATTCATCACACGGTCGGCACACCCTCCAAATTTGAACTAACTTACAGATAATGCAACCTATACGTACTCTACCACTACATACACACTTAACTTTAAAAACTGGTTGGTCTTTGGTTTGAGCCATTTAAGTCTTTTAAAAGAGCTAGGAAGTAGAAGGTCTTTAGCAAAGAGCTAGGATACAAGGTAAGGCAAGATCTCCAATTCCATTTAACAATAAAGAGGCGACTTAGAGGCGATTAGCTCAATTTGTGTTTAGTCTGCATACAGCCTTATACATTAAATAATATTTCATCCCAATACTCTCTTCTAAGTTAACGAAGAATCGCTCACAGCATCAGGTGAGTTTCAGGATAGGGGAAACTACGTTGCCGTTCAAATGTTTCAAGTTTTCAGAGACTTGCTGGTTCGCAGGCAGTAGGCTCGACTCTCATTCTTTTTTCCCCCATAGACCCCACAAAACGCTAATTTACATACAGAACCGCAAATTTACAATTTCAAACCGCAAAACTTATCCAATTAGGAGTCTTACTACTCTAGCAAGTAGGTATAATTATATTCGTGTCGATCATCACAGAGAGAACAGTATTATATTTGGGTTTAAAAATTGTTGTATTCCATAGGTCAACCAGAGAACACCAAGTGAAGAGAAGATAGCAAGTCTATTTATATAGGCAGAGAAAAGGATAAAGATTAATAGCAGAGATTAGTTAATATTAGACCTCGTCCCTTATCGCATAGTCTTATCCACAGTATCTACATCTACAGAGAGAAGGACCACATAATCTAAATTTGGCAGGGACCAGCCTAACAAATAGTCATACTTTGCTAAATCATACAGTAGAGAATATTCCCTAACACCCAAAAATCCGCCCTACTCTAATCAGCCGCTCTAATATCCACCAATTATAATGTATCACCTTAGCTAAACAGATTAAACAGCTCAGTCTATATCAATATCCGATCCTGGTTCTTCTTTAGGGTAATAATTACGTTCAGTAGTAAGACAATAAATATCTTCTGTATATCTACAAAGATATATTTCATACAGAAGGTCCTTACTATATATATAATATCTCTAATCCTCTAAGTACTTTCCTCAAAAGTATTACAAAGTTGATTTATATTTACTATATTTATATATTCGATGATAAACAGATAGCCGGATATTACGATAATACTGAAAATATTGTTAAGGTTTTTTGGCCTTTTAGATATAGTTCCCTGCCTTCTCTAGAAGTAATTTATTCTTTAATATTCTAGGAGTAATAATAGGTATCTTTATTATTTTATTATCTATTACTTTATACTCTTTGTCAGGCTTATTACTCAGAGCTAGCTATTTATATTGTCTATATAGTAGCCTACCTTTAAGATAATAGTAATATAATAAGATAACAGCGACTATAGTATTTTATCTCTACTACTCTGCCTCTAATAATAGGAAGTTAGCTAGGTTAATAACTTTTCTAGAAGATTAATTTACTCTAGCAGTATACTGTCTATTGTTACGGACCCTGTGACCTGAGGGGCCGCAGCCTACAGATGGGCCACCGAGAGCCAATCAACCCCACAGAACAGGCCACTACACATACACGTCACGTGCCACCAATGAGAAGTATTATACAGACGCTTCCCAGGAACAAGGACCGAACAGAACCATGCTCCTAGGAACA